GTATGTTCAAGTTGTCTAATATATGTGCTGATGAGGTCTTTATGTGGAGTTTCAGTCCATAGTACAACTGTATCACGTTTAGTAAAATATTTGGTGTTTTGAAGAGCTGTACTCACCAATTCATTATTATCCGCATTTGATTTGACGAAAGCTTGTATATTGAACAATTTTGTTTGGCTAAGAATGCACTCTGAAAGCCCTCTTCCATGACAGCCAGATATTTTCATTATAAGATTTCACCCCCTACTTATTTCAGATTTAAATCGATACAAATATCGAACTCAATAGACTTCTTCAAAGTCATCTTGTCGACATCATGTGACGTATGTAGAGGTCATTTCAAAGTCAAAATAATCACATGAATCAATGAATGTCGTGAAAATATGGGAAGTGAATGAAAATCATTCAAGGTTAAATCCAAAACATTATCTCAAAATCACATTGACCGTATCACCTTCTGACATAGTTCAAGGGTGTGAAGTAGATAAAGCTCGTTCAACGTCGAACTCAAAAGACTTCTTCAAAGTCACCTTGTCGACATCATGTGACGTATGTAGAGGTCATTTCAATGTTGATGTGACCGAGACAGACTAAAAATCTCAAGGTCAACCCCCAAGGTTATGCGACTTTGAACATTGTTCAAAATAGCTGTGAAAATATAAAGTGTGAATGAAAGTCATTTAAAGTCAAACCCAAAACACTACATCAAAGTCACCTTATCCTTATCACCTTGTGACGTACGTTAAGGGTGTGACGTAGATCAAGGTCGATCAAGGTCGAAGCCAACTCGATGCGTCGAACACAGGCGCTCCCCCACCACCACCACCAATTCCAACTCGATGTGTTGACAGAAGGCGATACAAGCAAACAGTCGTCGTTGAAACTTCACGGAGTGCAGACGTGTAAGCTCTCTGTCTCGATGGGTACCGTCCAAACTGGTGAAGAAGGACCGCTCATCAGTCGATGGATCTTCGTCGTATGCAGACGTGTGGTACAAACAGGTACAGAGTACACATGAAGAACAATATCAAACCCTGACTTTACCATGTATGCAATCTAGTTCCCTAATCTCAAAGTTGAATTCCATGTTCAAGGTCATGTTTCATGAACATAACTGAAGGATATAAACCCTGTACCGTGCATTCCCATACAGCAAGCAAATGTAATTACGTCACTATGTCACACACACACACACACACACACACACACACACACACACAAAATTTCATATGAAAAAAAAATTCTGAACGATCCCTGCACCGGACACTTCAAGGTCACATCGCCTTGATGTTACTAAACGATAAAAAAAGGAATTAATACGTCATAGTGGTGGGGGAGGCCCAGAACCGAAAAATAAATTCTGAACGATCCATACACCAGACACTTCAAGGTCACATCGCCTTGACTTCACTAAACAACAACAACAAAAAAGCAATTAATATGCCATAGTGGTGGGAGGAGGCTTAGAACCGGCTCAAATCTCCTACTGTTGACGCCACGCAGTTAACCATTAATTGTAACGTCTTCTGTAAGACGACGGAGGACGATGCGCGGGGATAGCGGAGCGGTCATCGCTGATAATCCGGCGGGCAGATGCGTGAGGGCAGACGTCGTTGACGATTGTATTAGTTTTGTGAATTTATTTATAGGTAACATAATTCGATTCTCGATGCTATTCATTACTCATTGCAGCTGGCATATTTGAAAGTAATGAAAATATAAATTATTAGCTGTTGCCTGCCCACTCTTATATTAACGTACCTACAGCCGAAGCTACTGAACCTAGAGTCTAGAAATATGCAGGTAGGTTCTTTGTATGGCGTAATTGAGTATCAAGAAAAGGAATAAGGGGTTTCCTTCCCCAAGAAGAAAATATGGGTTCAAAGAAGAATTTCGTCAATTTTGAAGTTGGAAGCCTGAAGTTTTGGGTTGATGAAAATACTGTAACTATTTGTTTGAAATGGCCTATCACGAAACTCAATGTGAGAAACTCAATTTTACCCGGGTGAAGAAGCCACGGGCAACAACTGGTCTTGGAAAATTGTTTTCAATAGATTCATCTTACGCCAGAGGTATATTTTTCACTAATCCTTTTACAACAATTTTATGGTTTCAAAAACATTTTACAAATTAAGCGAAAGTACCTAATCCTATTGATGATATTTGGGAAAGTAATCAAAAAATCTTTTTTGATCACTGCCAGTTTATGAATATATCCTCATAATTATAATCCATTTTATATGACTCCACTCTGATTGTTGAAAGATATAAATGTAACGTAGTTACCAAAATTAGTAGTAGGGTCGGTGAATTGAATTCAACAGAAATCATGCTGGTTGAGATTCTAGTTTTTCTCGTGACTCTTTCCACACCAATTTCTGCAACATCAACTCTAATTTCTGTAGTACAGGTGAAGTTGGAACGTAATCAATACAAACCCGTTGCTTTTTAAAAATTGAATTGAAGCAAAGTAAAGTATCTTTGTCTTACTGACATTTTTACTTGTTCACAGGTATTTCGTCATGGTCAGAGAACTTCAGTAGATCACTATACTAACGACCCCTACTCGAGTTCAGAATACTGGCCAGTGGGTCCAGGACAATTAACGAACGTGAGTGTTGAAGAGTGCACGATGATTTGTTCATTCTGCTCAGAAATATAATCCTTCAATGTATTTCAGTAACACTTCATCGAAAAATTTTCACTAATCAGTTTTCAAAGTCAAACGAAAGGTAGGATTCAATCTCTACAACGATAAATCACGACTGAGATTGCTCTTCAATCAAACCGCAAAAAATATAATTATTCTACTATCAACTTTCAACAGCAATTACACTCTATCATTACACATTTTCTCGTATGAAGGTGGACAGTAGAAGGCCCAAAAGTAGTACTATCATTAAGAATTTTTTCATTAACTATTATCGCCATCTCTGGGATAGAAGCGGAAGTAAAAGTGAGCTAATACTTTGTTCACACTTTATTCGATGTGATCGCCATCTTTGAGACAATAGCTTTCATGTTTTTTTCGCCATCTCTGAGAAAGTAGTAGAAGTTAGGTTCCTATTTTCTGTTTTGACTTTTTATATTATAATTCTGTGCCATCTTTGTGTTAGAAGCTTAAGTAGATGGTTTTCTTGTTCATTTCAACTAAAATTTATTTTCGAGTTCGGTCTGTTGAGAAAAATTATGTGAAATTCAAGCTGAATCACGAACAGGGGCTTAATGTATATATCTATCCAGTACTGCAGATAAATCATAATGGTCGATATATATATAAATGAATGAGTAATTCCTATTACGGTCATTCCCAATTTGATTTGTATATAAGAACCACCGGTAGACATCTTCGATTGAAGACAATATGTGAAGAGTGGAATACACAAATTAGCTTGCCAAGTTTTCAAGTCGGCGTTGGTGATTTGACTAATCTTCACAACCGACAACTGAAACTCTCCTGGAATACCATCGGAAAACGAATCCACATGTTTCTAGCTCAAACAAGTGTGACATATCTAAATTGTGATGTCGTTTCACTTCTGAATAGCTCAAAAAAATAATATGATTTCATGAAGGGTAATATGTACCTACCTAACTATAATCGTACTCGAGTTTTTGATTTTTTTTATAAAAATGCTATTGAAAACTAAATGAAATGGAAATGTATAGAAATTATCCCTTTGAATTCTGACCAAGCATAAAAAGGGTTTTGAGCTATTGCCTTTGATGAAACCCGTTTCACAATATTGAACAGAATATTCATAAATCATTGTCACTTTTTTATAATTTCGGACAAAGACAACTTTGTTATTTCAAATAGAACACTATGTTATTTTTTGATCTGAACAAAATAGAATTCAAATATCTTTTATTTCATTTTGGGGTTTTCCATACCTAACCAAAATAGTTTCTCGGATATTATTGGCTTTTTAAAGTTTTTTTCTTTGAATCAATATATCTTTGAAACAGCATTTATTCGATTAGCACACAAAATTCTCATTGACAGTTGTTATACATCACTCCATCGAAAATATATACTGTTCACTAAAATGGAGTTATCATTGACATTCATATTCTAACATCATATTGAATACAAAGATCCCCTCTCTGTATGAAAGACTGATTAACATTGGATAATATTTGAGACGTCACTCTTCGGAAAGCAGCCCTTATTCCCCCCTCAATATTTTCCAGAGTGATTGAAGAAGTGTCGTAAACCTCATTCTTCAAGTATTCCCATAGGAATGAATTCAGGCAAGTCAGATCTGGTGATCTCGCTGGCCAATTTTGTGGTCTTCTCGTACCAATTCATCTATCCGGAATGCACATATTCAAAAATTGTCTGAATGTTAAATGTGCCAGAGCTCCATCCAGTTAGTTGTAACCACATCCGTTGTCTGATATTTAGTGGCACATTCTCCAGAAGCTCAAGCAAATCATGTTGTAAAAATTGTAAAATATTCACCTTTCAAATTCACATAAAAAAAGTATGATCATATAACTTGGGTATCTATTATTCTTCCCCACACGTTAACAGATCATCTATTTTTGTGATCCAAAGTGCTGAAAAAATGAGGATTCACATCACTATAATGATGATAGTTGTGTCTGTTCACTAAGCCACTGTTATAAAGAGTAGATTCATCAGGAAATGAAATGGAATTCAATATTCATCCTCACTAAACCCATAAAGAGAACTCGATTCATGGATGGAAGTCTATTTCATATAATTCGTGGTTCATCTGAATACCGTACGGGTGAAATTCGTATTTATTTATTACCCTAGAAATGCTCCGTCTGATTATCCCTGTATCTTTCTCGATCTAACGTTTACTCGCACGAGGGTTTTCTGTGATTGATCTCATAATAAGAAATTCATTTTCCTCATTTCCAATTATGAGTTTTTGCCTTTTCATAAGCTACATTTTCATTCGTAAGAAGTTCATGCAGCAATTATTTGAAAACTAACTTTTTTGGATGATTCCTGTCTGGTTATTTTTGGGCATACACCCTTGACGCCAGAAGGCAATTTTCCAAATATTCGCCAATGCATTGAAATAAGAACTACTATTCGAAAAAACCAATATCTGAAAAACTATTTGGGTTAGGTATAGGGAACCCTGAAATGAAATGGAAAATAATTGAATGTCATATTGTTTAGACCAAAAAATACAAGATGTTCTATTTGAAATAAAGTAATCTCTGTCCGAAATTATAAAGAAGTGACAATTATTTTTTAACATTCTGTATGATAATGATAAACGGGTTTCACCGAAATCAATACATCAACACCTCTTTTACGCATCATAAAAGATGATTTTCATACATTTCGATGTTATGTAGTTTCCAATTATACCTAGCATTCTCATAAAAAATTAATAATTCGTTAACGGTTGTGATTGAGTATATAGTACCTCCAATGAAATGATATTATTGTTTTCTAACCCATTTGAAAGTATAACGAAAAACAGGGTATTTCATTCAAAATAACATAACTCCCTTCACTTTCCATATGCAAATAATTATTTTCAATTGTATATTTTGTTTCTCATTATATTCATGATATTGTGAACATGTAAGTTATATATTTCTTGTTATGTTTTATTTAAGTACATATTTCAGGTGTAGAATTTGTACTGAAAAAGAGTAAATTTCACTTAGGTGATTTAGATCAGTTTTTTCATTTAAGTAATGGCTGGATTGTGATATGAAGGACATTTCAAGAAAAAGTCTTTTTGTGAGGTTAGATTCTTTTGATAAAATTTTTACATTATTATAGTTCATATTATGCCCTGTTTGATCAACATGTTCGCCTAAGGTACATCTATGTGGGGCTGATCTGCTATCGCTTTTATGTGAGGTAATACGGTCTTTCAAATTTCTGGAAATATTAATAATTAATGATGATGATAATATTTTGAATAGCAATACTTCTGACATAGTTCCTGTTTCCCCACGTTTTGTATCACTTCCATATATAAAAGAGGTAACACCTAAACTTGTGAGAATTTTTAACGAATTTAATAATAATAGTAACTTCAAAATTGCCTATAAAACCGCTCTATCCATTAATTCTATCTTTACCAAAATGAAGACAAAATACCTCTCACACATCAATCAATTGTGACAGCATATACATTGGTCAAACTTCCAGAAATTTGAAAGACCATATTACCTCACATAAAAGCGATAGCAGATTAGCCCCACATAGATGTTCCTTAGGCGAACATATTAATCAAACAGGGCATAATATGAACTATAATAATGTGAAAATTTTATCAAAAGAATCTAACCTTACAAAAAGACTTTTTCTTGAAATGTCCTTCATATCACATTCCAGTCATTGCTTAAATAAAAAAACTGATCTAAATCACCTAAGTGGAATTTACTATTTTTTACTACAAATTGAAAAATTTTTTCATAATTTCAAAAATTCATCTTCATTAGAATATAGTACATAAAATAATCATAATCAAATTGGCATTCCTGTATAGGATGAAAGTTTGGCAATACTGAATCCAACAATGTAATTGTTTTCTGAACTGTCATGTCATTTATTTCTTCTTCTCCATTTTCATTCAAAATTAGTATTATAACCTATTTTGTGATCACATGTACCGGCCTGGTACAAAATCAGAATTTTAGAATTAAAAAAAAGGAATTTATTCATTAGATTCACAATAATTTTACCAAAATTGACGTTCATATGTTTAATTGTTT